ACACGACGTGGATAAGTCATTTGAATAATTTGAATGAAGAAATAATAATATGCATTAAATACATTAAAGATACTTAATTGTGATATAGTCTTATATTCAGACAACTAAGAAACAATTAGTACACTAGAATTTATACTATGTTTCTTAATAAATGTTTTCTTGAAATTAAAAAATAAAAGATAATGTTCTTAAAAATTTATGATACTTGTTATTTCACTTCTTAAACTTATTAATATTAATATATATATATATATATATATATATATATATATATATATATATATATAAATGTACAATATAAATAATTATATTATTTTATCTTATATTTGAAATGAAAATAATAATTAATATCCAAATTAAATTTATTTTAACTAATGTATCTATTGTTATAAATATTAATAAAATGTAATGTGATAAAACTTGTTAATTGTACAAATATAATGTCAGAAAAATATTCGTAATACTTGCAATAATACACTTGTTTGTTAACAATACATGTCATAAGAACTATAATAAATGTCATAAGATGTTCTTGCATATCTTGAGTACATTTATCGCCTATACTAGTCAAGAAATAATAATAGTCCAAATATTTTTTATTCAAATGTATAATTAAAATTATCGCTATATTATATATATATATATATATATATATATATATATACATATATTAAAAAACGAAAGAAAAACATATACATAAATAAAATTCCGATATGGAAGAAATTTACTTTATAAATACAGGGACATCTTTAAATACTTTACTCAACCATTCAATTTTCAATGCATACATAGAATACGAGAATATTGGATACGCGCATTGTACAGGAGTTTCATCAGGTCTTGAATCTAGTTTGTCCTTCGAAAAAGAAAAGCAAGACAAAAACGAGACTGGCTTGGTAAAGAAATCAAGAACAAACTAAGAAGCCTACGAAGTATACAGTTGAAGAAGCTCGAAAGAAAGAGAAAGACGAGAGAGAAAGAGAGAGAGAGAGAGAGAGAGAGAGAAGAATATCGCGATGCAACAGTCAGGTAGGAAAAGACACACAGATGCATAAAAAGAGACAAAGAAAGAAGAGAGGCTGCACAATGCAATTGTACACAGAAAATTTTGCGATAGTATAATTCTTTAGAGTAAAAAGTAAAAGGAAAAAATTATAAATATCTTATATACAATTGGCGAATAATAAGCGCAATAAAAATATGCCCATAAAACTGAAAAAATAAAACGCCTTGTGAGCTGCTGAATTATTTCTATGCACAAACGTATATCACTATAATTGGCAATGTATTTTAGGCTCTTGTAAGCCGAAAATCCGTCGATACGCACGTCTCGTCTTATATTTATAATGCACACAGCGATTTTGCGTCATATATCACTTCCGCTGGAACTTCTTGGAATCTATAGAGAAGCTTCACATATGAATATCAGATCAGCAAAAATTTGTCACTAAAAGACGAAACCTTTTCGAAATTCAGATGGGGCTGATAATTTGACGAAAAAGCATGGTTTCCCACGGCAAGGAAGAGCATGCATCAGAACAAAGACGGAGTAATGAAAGGCAGCAGCTAAAGAAGAGGGAAGATAAAAAGTGAGTAAGACTGTGAGAGAGGAGAGAGAGGAGAGAGAGAGAGAGGGAGAGAGAGGGAGAGGGTAATACAACTTAAACACGTGGAGTTGCCGAGCACTGGTCTCTATCCCTTTTCTTTGTCTCTCTCACTCTCTCTCTCTCTCTCTCTCTCTCTCTCTCTCTCTCTGTCTTTCCGTCTGTTTCGCTCTCGCTCGTTCGGTCTGGAGTTCGGAAACGATGTCAGTGTACGCGCGCTGGTCAACAGCAGCGCACACGCGTTCCATCTGCGAATTCATACGCGCACGCGAAGCCGGTTGAGTAGTGCGTAACTCCGGTGCCAAGAATTTCGAGTGATGTTGTAACGGAGATATAACCGAGGTGGTTCGTATTTCGGGCCTTGATAATGACGAATGATCCGAGAGAATGAAAGAACTTTGATATTCTTGGCAATTGCGAAGTGACAGCTTAGCTTGCCAATTAGATGTCAAGAGGCTGAGAGGATTCTGCGACATCGCGTTAGTATCTTATACTTGTATGTAAATGAGTAGTCTATATAGGATGAGTCATTTAGGTATTTATCGATCTATCCTTACATATAGATTTATATTTATCTAATAATATGATATTCTTAAAATATATGATTTATGAGGGTTTGAAGGTGCATTTTACGAGCTTTTATCGATTAATAATTTTAATGATTTCACTGTGCAATTTAATTACATAGGAATAATGTTCGTTATGCCTATTCATATAAATTAAATTGATTTATAGCTCAGTTTAAATTAATAATTTGTCGTCGTATATTAAGCCTTTAGAAGTATTAATTCGTAATCTATAATTTGTGCTTAATTTTTAAAAATTACTCTATAAATTATTAGTTGGACTACATAAATAGAAATATATTTATGAATTAATTGTAAATATGTAAAATATGTATATATATATATATATACGTAGATATAACTATAATGTAAAAAAATTGCATCTTACGTCGGTTTTCAAACTAAAATCATAACATTATTTATTATTTTTATAATTTTTACTTATTTATAAACAAGTATTTGAATTTTTAATAGAATGTGAATATTAAGGGGAGAATTAAATTTTTAAAATAAACAAGCTAGACCAACGACTTCGGGTACACCGAAGAATACAACAAAAAAACGAAATTTAAATGGTCTTTAAGGAAAAAGAAGAAAAGAACAAAAAATGTGACGTATCACAAAGTACATAAGGGTAAATTTACAAAAACAGAGGAATGGCTCAGTTTCGTTGCGTGCTTCTTTTGTCTCTCTCTACACTGTTGTATATAAGCGCTGTTCTGAGTGATGTCCTCCAAGCGAGTCATCAAAATCATCAGATTCATCAGCATCATGGATTTACCCACCGTCATCGAGTAAGAATGTTAATTGATCGTTGATTATAATATCACGTGCTTTTTTATTTAAAAAATTAAACTAAATGGTTCATTAACTAAATCACATTAATTATTCGGTAAACTATGTATATTTAACTTCTATGCACTTAAACAATATCAACTTCCTACATGCTAAATTCACAGAATTCATCATGTTTCTAAGTTTATTTAAGCAAGTACTTTCTACCGGAAATTTTCAAGTACATAAACCAGTTGCTTGGCGTCACCTATTCACTCTAATTTAAGCAAAATATCGCGAAATTCGATTGATTTATATTGTAAAGACCTTTATTGAAATTAGCAATAAAAAATATACATATGTGCTTAAAAGAAATAGAAAAGAATTAACAAAATTTTTCGAAAATAAAATTCAATATAAACCATTTTCCATAGTATCTACATAGACATTGCACGGAATAACAAAAAATTGTTACCTACATTCTACATCCAATTTATTATAAGAAACGAGAAGGCTTATATGTATTTTTAGTAAATTTTGAGAAAATAACATAGTCCACTCGCGATATTTAAAAAATATAATTGTAATAAAAATTAACAGACGCTTACAACAAAAATACCTAATGAATCGATCTATACATCAACGGCCAACCTATAAAGTTATTTAGAGACGTCAGAGTCCTTACATGCATTTGAGGATGCTTTATTACGTTACGTATAAAAGTTTATCAACGCAGCATTTTGCTTTTTAATATTTTATGACTTTTATGATTTTACTTCGCCGTAATCGAACGCACAGCATTTAAATGCCTCATTACTTGCCTTTGAAAAGGAATATCAACTAAAGCTTGAATGAGATTATTGATATTAAAATCTCGATACCAGTGTTGTTATCGCATAAATATCTCCTTTAAATTTAAAAAATTAAACAACCTCTTCAAGGACCATCTTGGCCATCAAACTTGATAACAAAATAAATATTAACAATCGGAAACTACACACACCCACACACATCTAACAAGCAAGCTCAATACAACGAAAACTTGATAACCGTTATCCAATAAATAGAACAACCAGTCCCTCGCCATTCCCTCTCCTCAGACGATTTTACGGAGGTATGGTGCTGATTAGCCTTGACATCCACTAAGTATGAATCATACGCAGCCACAGAATCCAAACCCGTTGAGTTGGTCACCGCGGCATGGCGAACATGCGACTTTGTATGCGCACAGCCGACACAATCATGAATCTCAGCGACGCGAGTCGCGTCTTCTTACCTACCGGAACGAGCCTTCGCCGGCGACGAGGACGACGACCACGATGACGACGTCGACGACGAAGACGACGACTATGACGACGTCGCCAAGTGCGAGCAAAGTTATTTCGTATGAACCCGCGCGTCAGGATATACACTGGCAACAGCAGCATCAGCGATCCATCAATTCCAGTGCCATTGATTACAGCAAGTATCAGTCGGGGTGAGTAGATCTTGCATTGAGTTGATCTTATTAAGCGTGAATGCGTGTAGTAAATTTCTTTATCAGTCCGCGGCTCATACGTTGTACGTATATATTGGGAATGATTTCGCATACTATAAGCATGTAATTCATTATTACCGAATGTTAGAGAAAGTTAAGCGAACGATGATCATGTTTGAAATGTAAGGATCTATCGGGTATATATTGGTCGGATATTATGGGGAGGTTTTTGACTATTTCAAAAAAACATTTCATAACTATGAATCAAAGCTTTATAAACAGCAATAGAAAGTGAAAGCGATGCAGTTACGTTTCGCATACTTTCCGGTATTGGGTAAACACCAATCTAAATACAAATCGTATCTTTGTTATGCTAATTGTACGTAAATAGGCAAAACGTATAAAAGACCGTTTTCAAATAATGTATGAAATTAATAATTTTCTATTCTTATAATATATAAAGAATAATATTGAGAGAAAATTTATTATTAATATATATTAATATAAGTATTTTCATAAGTTTCAGACATTTTATAATGGCGATTGGAAGAAGTTTTAACTGTACAATTATTACATCTTCTGAACGCTGAGACATGGTAACAGAAAGTTGTTGGGAGAATTTAATTAATAATATCTTTAGATATTAATAAATGCTGTTCTTTCGATTAACGTTAAAGATTAATTGAATTTTAGAAAACGAATCATCGGCGATCAGATTTTTTCCCAAATCATTTGTCCCATCCAAAGCCTTACAACTCCAAAGTACATATAGTTTTACAAACGAAATATGACTTATAGTGTCTTTTTTGTTAACATGAAGCCATGTATATTGTTAAAAATCTATGTAAAAAGATATTTTAGCTTTCTTTTAATTAGCTTTTAAAATCAATTACACTCATGCCACATATGAACTTGTAATATAGAAAATTAAATAATCTAACGTGAAGTTTTCTTAACCTATTTAGAACAATAATTTAAACTACCCACTTAAATAATTAAAAGTTAATAGTAAGGATATTCATTTTAAAATATTACCTACTAATTAATATTATTCATTTTTTCATGATTAGAATTTAAACATTATAATTATTATTAATTAATAAAATCAACCCGACCACTTTGAGGCATTTTAAGTACGAAATAATAATACAAGAGACACGGATTTTACTTTTTAATCAAACTACATTGAACGTTTATGTTTAAAATATTTATAATATACATTTATGGTATGTAATTTATTTGGATACTTTTAAAAAGTACTTGACAATAATAAAATATTAGCTTAACAATATTGAGACAAAGGATAACTTACAATCTATACTCGATGTAGCAGAATATAACTTTAAGAATAATATGACAATCGTAAACGGTATTTTTACTTGAAATTTATAAATTTATAAATTTATAAATAAATAAATAAATAAATAAATAAATACTATTTTATTTAATAAGATTAAATTAGAATACTTCCACGCCGTGATAATACGAATGAAAATATAAATAGCGTACAATGATAGCGTATAAAATACAGAATAAAGTGAAATTTATCGTCAATCAAACGTTCGAGTTAGCCGAATAAATAAGCAAAAGTGTGCGAACGATTTGTTTCAGCGCTAACGATCGTTTTGACTTAATTTATGTTGAAAGTGCAGATCATTTCTTAATCAACGTTACGATTGAAAATATCCGTGGCAGTGCATTTAACGAAAACCGGTCTCGTGGAAGTTTACCGTCATCGTAAACTTAATCGATTTTTCATTCATGAGCCTGATTTGGTCTTCAAGACATCCGAAGTCTATCATAGTACACTTCGTAAAGTTAATTTTTATAAGATATGACAAGAAGAAAATTTAGTCTCGTATAGGCAGCCTTTGTTTACAATGGCAATATTGATTTAAGTTATTTAATGACAATGTTGAATTCGTTTATTACATTAGTTATTGAAATTACGAATTACTATCAATTAATTGAAATTAACAGTGTTGGTTATTTACGTATTTTATTGACGTATTTTAAGGGTAATTTATTTAAAAATCATATTAAATAAATTTTCTTCTAAGTAATAACATAATCATTATATTTTTTTTACTTTTTAATCCAAGATTTTCTTTAACATAATGGCCACAATTAATGGCGCGGAAAAGATAATATTTGTATTTAAAATTTCCATTATTGGACAATTTTCTTAAATTTTTTAATATTAATTAGCGGAGTATTTGTTATAAATAAATTAATCGTCATGGCTAATATTAACGTTGGCAATTCCCAAATTTTCAATAATATCTAATATTAAATATGGTAACTGTAATGAGAATTATTGATGAAGGATAAAAACTCTATCCTCCATTGTTTTAACACTTTGTGAATGCAAGAAATTTTTTCAGATGTCAAATTAATTTAAAATAACGCGATATTAAAAATATTATAAAGTATGTCAACGCAAAAATCATTCGCACCAACGCACATCTGTATTTTGCAGCTAATTGAAACGAGCGAACGGCTGTTCAATAATAATTATTTCATCCGTCAATCAATAACTTATTATATCTGCGTATATCGAAATAAGGGAAGGCGATAAATCAAAACTGCGCTTCTAAATTCCGCATTAATATTTGATAGGAACATGCTATCTTGCTCTACGACAATATTCTTTTGTGTTACGTTTGTGTTGACGAGAACTCCCGTGCCACTTGTTGTATAAAAGATTGAAAACTTGTCTATGCAGATAAATGCAAAACGACTCGCCAAAGTACTCTTGGTTCGTTATAATTTATGATTACTATTTCCAAAAATGCTTTTGTATTAATATACAAGGACTGCATATACGTGAATATAGAATCTACCTTCGATTCTAAGGCTATTTTAATTTTATTTATTATTTGATGCTTTTGGACTACACTATAAATGATTTAAAATATTAATATACACACACACACACACACACACACACGCATATATATATATATCAAAATAATAAAATATAGAGATTTCAGACAATATGAAAAAAATATTACATGTGTTAAAATATAATTATAGCATATTCTTATTCGCATTATAGCCATATTTATATTATTTTAATTAAAATAAAAATAATTAAATTGAATCTATTATGTTAAATAATCAATGCATTAAATAAATTAATGCAATTGATAATAAAGAATAAATAACATCTTTGATTTAAAGTTGACAATGAGTATGTAATGGCTCATACAATGATATTAATATGTGTGATATACAAAATCATATAACAAAATAAAGATTTAAATAATAAATGCCAATGTTGGTAAAGTAAAATTCAGTCATGTTATTTTGTAGATCGATAGAATTTTTGTATCAAGACACATTACAAGTATAGAGCAACTTACATGTTAATTCTATTTCATTTCAATGAAAAATTTTAATATTAATTTCAATATTAAATTAGTTTAATATTCTTCATACATTATAATTTAAAGGCATTTATTTTTATATCTTTCATACATTATAATTCGTTACTTAAAATTTTTAAAAGCTATAATGACTAATTTTGTTATTTTAAATAATTGATAATAAAGTACATAAATAATAAAAACGAATTTTTTTATGATAATAACTGATTATAAATTTTCTTCTAAAACATTTTTTGTATGATACAAAAATTCATTCTATTCATCATATTCCAAATTATAATATATCGATTTTATATTATAGCACTGACTTTTCATAATGTACGTAATGGATAATAAGCATCGTTAAAATTATTTATGATTTTAAGAAAATTTACCTTTTATTATATCAGGTTAGCAAGACAAAGAAAAAGTATATATATATATATATATATATATATATATATATATATTCACATGGATATATAAATTTATGATATATTTAGAAGTGTAAAACAGTAATTTGATTTCAAGTGCTTAGCTTGATAAGGTATGAAATAGAATTGCGTAAGATATAATAGCTATGTGTGCGTCATTAAATTTTTGTCGATCCCAAAATTGTCGTTTAGATTATTTGTCCGTTAAATGATGGATGATAAGAGTTGCGAAATAATCTATGATTTTAAACATATAATATACACATGTCTCGGTAATTATAAGTACGAAACTATCATAACAAATGGATCTTGTAAAGAGAAAATTTCCCATTGCATTATTTTATTCATATGAAGTACGAAATAATGATGTAATACTAATTGAAGTGTAAGCAAGTCGAGTCTATTTATGTAAGCAATTATTAACCACTGTGCCCTGCCCTAACAAAAAATATTTTTTCAAAAGCGAATCGTAACTAGTGATATTGGATGATAAAATCCAATAGAATGGACAATGTAAAAGCAATAAAATTGCAATATACATTTCATACACAGTTACCAAATACTTACTATTTGATAACCTTCGAAATATTAAATAAGAAAGACATTATAACGATCTAATACATTGCTATAATATCAGCAATATTACATGTATTTTAAACTGATATTATTATGCAAAAAATTTTAGCCAATAGGCCAATAATACTTGTTAATAAGAGAAAATTTATCACGTTATGCAATATATAAATGTATTAGCTTTCGCTTTTCATAATCAATTCTAAGTTATGATCGAAAGTGATGAGTATTTCTTACTATCGCTATTTATTTGTGTAATTATATAAGAGCAAATTATAAAAATATTGAAAAAGATAACTCGGAAAGTAATGTCATAAGCAGAATTTCATTTTAGTCGTATTAAAATAAAAATATACATTATAAATTAATTATTTTATTCTAATAAATATAAATTAATAATTATTCATTATACACATACGTGTGTGTGTGTGTGTGTGTGTGTATGTGTGATTTCGAAGTAGCTATTAAAACTCGACATAATATTTGATTAATTCAATTGATGCGATGTAATTTTCAATTTTACAAATTCCAATAATTAATTTTTATTTATTTTTATACTTATTATGTTTGTCAAATATATATGTATAAAATAAATTAGTTAAAATATTTCTATTTTATAATCAAA